ACAGGCCCTGTGCTTGATCAGGGAAAAAGTAAAAGTGGATTTCAACCCAGCTCTCTTTGGCCTTAATCTGCAGGATTAGGGCATCAGAAAGTTCACTCCAGTGGGCTGAAGTCTGCATGCGTAGAAATGTGTTTGTATGTTTGTGTGAGAGTGTGCGTGATACTTGTAATACTTTCTTTGTAGAAAACATAAGTTTAAATTGAATGTGCTTGCATGTTTTTGCACATCAGCATAGGTGTGAAACAGTTGGTGAACTCTAGTATCCAGAGCCACATGTGAAGCAGCAGCAGCAGCAGGCAGAGGGACGGGAGGGGAGAGAGCTGCCCGTGGGTTAAGAGCTAAAGCCGCTTGGCCCAGATGAAGATGGCTCTCAGGCTCTCTGCCAGTCAAAGCCTAGCCAACAGCCCACTCTTACTGACAAGTCAGGGGAACGGCGGGACAGGTCACACGCACAATTTGTATATATTTACGGTATATAACAGGAAGTGCAAAGTACGATGCCTCAAGAATGATGCCTGTACTTGAAATGTAATTAAAGATTAAACATTTTATATGAAATATTGTTTAAATTACCTACTGGCTACCAAAAGGTGACAAACCCACAAAAAGTATCACCTAACTTTGCAGTTCCCATGATTTCCATAGAAGCCTTTTTTTGCCTTGGGTTTTACACCCCACAACTTTACTGCTTTGATTCATTTTCACAGCTTTCATCTGATCATTTTCAGCCACAGCAGGCGTCCATTTTCAAAGAACCACACGAAAAACACTCTGAACACCAGTTACTCTCACAGGGCCTGGCACCGAACAGCAGACAGGCGCTGTTAATGAATACAGCGACGCATTTAACGGCTAAGAAAAAAACGAATATCATCTCAAATCCCAATGGAGACCAAAACAGAGCTTAAAGAAAAGTAAATATTGGACCTAAACTCTACTTTGTTGCTCAAAGTGTAACTTAATCCAGGATGTTTCACTGCCATCTCTGATTGAAAGTTTTAATGTTTACTGCATTACTGATGGGAGTGGCTTTGTTCTCTCAGTACGCACAGCAGGAGTGACATCATAAAACCACTGGAGATCAGACTGGGCTGTCACAGTTTGAGTGCACCATTTATTTATCCACCTCCCCTTTCTGAAATGCTTTTGCACAAATATGTTATGCAAATCTATTGCATAAATAGACAGTATAAAACATGTATATACAAAAGACACAAGATATAGTTACTGTGAGCTATTGGGCTTTATACTGCTTCAACCCCTTTGGATTGTAAAGTCCTGTTTTGAATCTTCAAGTTGAGTGTTGTCGTTGTCACCATCCTGGTCCAATTGTCGACTTTTTTCTAAGAAGAAGACTGCGTGACATGTCTGACAGACACAGCAATGTCTGGTCAAATTCTCTAAATGCATTCATGAAACGAGCACTG